CTTTCCAATCAAACCATTCTATGATTCTAAACAACTAAACCTGGACAGGCAGACAGGAATTTCATGAAGTTCAACAAAGCGAAAAGCCAAGTTGTGCACCTGGGCAGGAAGAGCCCCAGGAATTAGTACATGTTGGGGGCTGACTAGCTGGAAAGTGACTTTGTGGAGAAGGACCTGGGTATGTCAGTGAGTAACAAGCTGCCCATGAGCCAGCACTGTGCCCTTGCGATAAAGAAGGCCAGCAGCATCCTGGGCTGCATCAGGAGGAGTGTGCCAGCAGGTCCAGGGAGGGAATCCTGCCCCTCTTCTGGCACAGGTGAGGCCACGCCTGGAGTGCTGGGTCTGGTTCTGGGAGTGCGAGAGAGACAAGGACTTGCTGGAACGAGTCCAGGAAAGAACCACTAAGATGATTAAGGGCCTGGAGCATCTTTCAGCTGAGAGAGCTGGGACTGTTCAGCCTGGAGAAGGCTCAAGGGAATCTTACCAATGTGTATAAATAACTGATGGGAAAAGATTAAGACAATGGAGCCAGGCTTTTTTCAGTGACGCCATGACCGGACCAGAGGCGATGGGCACTAACTGAAGCATAGGAGGTTGCCTCTGAACATCAGGAAACACTTTTTTACTGTGCCAGTGACGGAGCGCTGGCAGAGGTTGCCCAGGGGGGTTGTAGAGTCTCCATCCTTGAAGATATCAAAAACCCGACTGGACAAGGTCCTGGGCAACCGGCTGTAGGTGGCCCTACTTGAGCAGGGGGTTGAACTAGATCATCACTCCAGAGGTTTATTCCAACCACATTGAGTCGGTGATAAAAAAGATGTTTAAAAAAAAAAAAGTTCAGAAATCTGCTTTCCATTTTAGTAATGCTAGTGGATGGACAGACTTTAGAAAAAGTATGTATTTGAAGTCATAAATACTTGCATTACTGTTTTGTATGGTTTAATGCTGTACTTGTCATGGAGATTAAACTCACTTTCTAGTCAGTGTAACAGGAGATAGAAATAACTATACTGAATTGTAGGAAAGTTGAATAGCAGTAATCATCTGAACTCAGTAATTTGGCATTACGTACCTTAAACTCCAGTGGATTCTGAGGATTTGTTGAATTTGGCTTTCACAAAATTTTTTCTTCCAAAAAAGGCATTACAAATAATTGGGACGTGGCAGAAACTGTGTCTTTGTCATACATGTGTGTCATAGTATCTGATTTGGATACCAGAAAAGAATAGTTAGGCCTAGGGAGGGCAGGGAGTGGAGGGATTGTGTTTAATGCAAATTCAGATAAATTTCAGCAGAAAACTACACTGACTAGCTCTTTATTTCCTTTTCTTCCCTGGTTTAAAGTAGTAAACGGTACATGTTTTATGAAATCAGTCCTGCCTTAATTATGAGATGGCATTTGTAAAGCTGTCAGTAATAGTGGAAATACTATAATATAATCATTAAAAAGAATCAGAAATATTTTTGTTCTTCAGTTGAGAAGAAGCAGAAAGGTTTGGTACATACAGTAATAAAATATTTCACATTAAGACATGCAGTATACATGATGTATGCAAGTCAACAAAGTTTAGTAGAAAACAAGTCTTACCAAACAAACTTGATCTTGATGCTTTGAAATTTCAAGCTTGGTCGCCAAAGGCATTTGTCATTTGTTGCAGTGTGTGATGTTAGATGGAGTTCTGAGCAACCTCGTTCAGTTGACGATGTCCCTGCTTATTGCAGGGGAGTTGGACTGGATGGCCCTTAATGGTCCCTTCCAACCCCACACCATTCTGTAATTCTGATATCATTGGGGAAAAGCAGTGCGCAAAGCAATAAAACTCATTGGCTGATACCTTACAAACTGGAATCTGTTATTCAGTGTAAGCATGTTTTTTGGATGAGGGGTTAGTGTCTGTCTGAATGAAGAAAGGTAAACTTGCACTTTTCAGTTGCTCTGTTAATAATCTGTGGCTAAATGAAAGGTAACAACTCAGGAAGGCATAGACAGAGGGAGGAATGAGTACTGAGAAGTCAGTGCAACAGGTTGATCTAGATGGTTTAGCATACAGTATTCTCTGGAAAACACTGTTTTTCAATATCACTGGATATGTTTGTGTAAAAGCAAAGTGTACTAAATACTAAAGAGGAGAGGAAGGAGGCTATAATTTGCAAAAACTGCGATTCAGGGGGACTCATGGATTGAAGGGATATGAGTGAATGTGCCAAATAGTCAACAGCAGGTTTGATCCAGGAATATAAACTTCTTGAGTAGAACCAAGAAGTCTTTGTACAGTTTGGTGTAGTCAGTGCGTGGATAAAGTGAACAGTCGTGGTGCTGGTGCTTACAGAATGTTGGTAGGCTAAAGAAAAAATCAGTGGTAAAAATAATCTTGAATCAAAGTAGACCCACCCTACTACAAGAAAATTCTTAAAGCACATTGAGTCTCATCTTGAAAAGGAAGTTTGAAGTTGTTAGTCTCATGATTTATAAACACCTATTTAAAGAATAGGTGACAAGTCAAGGCCCAATGACCATAATCTGAAGCTAGGCACTTTTGGATTAAAAATGAGGATTTTTAATGGTGGATAATGAGTGGACCACTGGAGCAATTTATTTAACTCCCATGTTACATTTTCAGTGCTTAATCTTTTACACTAGGATTTTTTTCCCTAAAATAAAATTTCTAATTTAATGAGAAACTCTGTTATTTTTATTGCAGAAAATAACAATTCAGCATCTCTGGAAGAAGTGAGATGCAAGGATCAGAAAACACCTTTTCTGTTCTGAATATACTAAGCCTGATGTTTCAGGAGAACTTTCTCTTATTGCCATTTATTCAAGTTAGCCACCGAATCCTTCCTATGATCTGTTGCAATTTGAAGAACATCTTTTCTTTAAATGTACCGTTTGAGTTAATTTGCCAAAGCATGAGACTCTTGCACTGAAAAGAGCTAAAGAGAATGGGAAATTTCTTTTTTTGGTTATTTTTAGAAGTCATTCTCATGCTTTGCTCCTAGCTGTATGTGGAAGAGAAATTTAAGTAGCATTCTTTTATATCTTTCAGTTATTATACGTAGAGTTTTTTTAATTATGACGTCTGCTTTTTGTGCTGTATTTCTGGTTTTGTTTCTTCCTGGTGCTCCTTAAATCATGGAATGGAAATGATCACCATGGATTGAATGGCTCATGCCTATTGCTTTCCTCTCAGTTTCCCTTTTCCAATGTAATTCTTCAAGTGTTACAGTTCTTAAGTGCTACCTGACAAGCAGGAAGCACAGACCCCAAGGATGCGTGCTTGCCGGACCTTTTCAGAGCAGCCAAACAACCAGTATGTCAATATTCCTTACAGTTTAGCTGCAATGAGACTTGTTTAATCTTTTTTGTGTTCTCAAGCTACTTTCTTGTATGTTTTGACAGGAGGCTGGAGCCCACAGAAAAACCCCTTCAGATTGTGTATGACTACTTGGCTGGGTTGGGTTTTGATGAGCCTGTCAGAATGCAGGAAGAGGCAGCAAACTCTGATCTCAGCTGTATGATTCGCTTTTACAGTGGTAAGAAATCGTGTGTGTGCACACTGTCGCTGTTCCTGTAGCTTTAACTGTGCAGCGGAACTCAGTCTAAGCCCAAGTCATTGACCTATTGGGTTTATGAATGGCTACATCAAACACCCAAAGTACCAGTAAGAATTTCTTAAAATAACAAGTTGTCAAGGTTAATAGAAAAAAACCAGAATTCTGTAGTTCTCTTGATCCTACCTATGCCTTGAGAAAAGACAGCTCCACAGGAAGACGAAAGATTGCTCTGTTGTCTTTAGTTTCCAATATTGCAACAAGTGCCTTAGAGCTCCTAATGGGATGAGAAACATATTGTAATTCAGTCTAGGTGTGCCCGAAGATTGTATTTCAAAAAGGTGTATGGATATGGGCAAGGAAGGTCCTGGTCAAATACCTTCGCAGCCTGTAAATAGAGAGTGAAAGTGCCAGCTGGTTAATAATAATGCAGGCTGCCATTAGAAACTCAGTGCATTTAACTGCAGAAGCAAGACATCTGAGTGGCCAATTGAATCAGTTTGGGCAGGATAACACGTGGATAAGGAGCAACAGAATGATAGTCATAGACCTGTTGGTGTATGGTGCTAACAGTCAGAAAAGGAATTCACTGAACTGAAGAGGAAATTTAAAAGAAATAAAGGGGAGAAAAGCTGATAATGGAATTATTTCATTATTCTTAAATACTTCACCTGTGTATTTCTTGCATTTCAGAAAAAAAATCAAAGTGCTTTTAATGCAAAATTTTTCTTGCATAGTGGAGCTGGGTAACCTGACAGAGCTGCTAGCCATCATTCGTTTATTCAATGTCAAAAAGGAATCATAAGAAATCAGCTTCTATACCCTTCCACCCGAGACAAACCTCTTCTGTCTGGGATCTGTGCACAGAACAGGCAGAACAGTGTAGAAGTATAATGGAGATGGAAAGGAGTATGATGTGCATATGGTCTGGATTTATCGGGTGAGGAGTAGGGAGTCAGAAGTTATTTCAGCTGGAAGGAGGAGAGGCATCAAGCATAGGGCTGTAGAGAACTTTTGAAGAAAAAATGAGCAATTCAGTTTGGGTATGTCAAGCAGGAGCTGCTGAAGATTCAGGAACAGTGACTCAACTTCATGGAAGCAAGTAGGCAGAAAGTGGAATTGAGTAGTTTCAGTCAGCATCAGAGGGTAGTCCAGCGTAGAAAGAGGCTGTGAAGGAGGAAGTGTAAGGATTTGAAGAGTGTTCAGGAGACCTGTTTTAAAAAAGTAAAAGCAAATGCTGCCAAAGTGGTTCTTAAAGGTAGAGAAGGAATTAAAGGGAATGCTGTGGAGGAGTATGTGATAATTTTGCAAAGCCTGCAGCTGAGAAGATAAGGGATGAAGTAATGCATTTTAGCTAGAGAAACATTACTTAGAATCATAAAATGACAGAATGGTTTGGGCTGGAAGGGACCTTTAAAGATCACCTAGCTCCAACCCCCCTGCAATGGGCAGGGACACCTTCCACCAGACCAGGTTGCCCACAGCCCCATCCCACCTGGCCTTGAACGCTTCCAGGGATGGGACACCCACAGCTCCTCTGGGCAGCTGTGCCACTGCCTCACCACTCTCATCGTAAAACATCTCTTCCTTATGTCCAATCTAAATCTACCCTCTTTCAGTTTAAAACCGTTGCCCCTTGTCCTGTCACTACAGGCCTTGGTAGAAGGTCTCTCTGTGCCTTTCTTATAAGCCCCCTTTAGGTACTGGAAGGCTGCTCTAAGGCATCCCCAGAGCCTTTTCTTCTCCAGGCTGAACAACCCCAACTCTCTCAGCCTGTCTTCATAGGAGAGGTGCACCAGCTCCCTGACCATTTCTGTGGCCTCCTCTGGACTTTCTGGAGTGCTGAGAGCAGCCTTCATATTTCTTTCACCACTTGGGCATGTGTCTTGAATTTCTCTGCTCTCTTCCCAGATTTCTGTCTGCCTTTCTTACATGATACGTTGGGTTTGTTTCCTTCCCTGGTGCCTGATGAGTTCTTATGCCCAGTTGGGGTGATAAAACTACAAGTGGATTAATGGAAACCTCACATTAAACAGCAGTGAGAGGGAAGCATACTTCCTGAAGTCTGGTTGTTGAGATACTTGCAGGAGCCCAGGGGAGTTTTATGAGGGGAGAGGATGTGTTAGGTTGTCTGAGAGAATGGGGGGAGAGCTTCCTCTCAATGGAAGTTGCTTTGAGAATGGAGGCCAGTGACCCAGGCTGGATGGATCAAGCTCAGAGATCAAAAGTTGACAGAGTCTTTACATGCTTCAACAACAGATCAAATGGAAGAAGTTCTCCAGGGCCATCAAACTGTTCACCTATGTCAGGTGTGACAGGTGTGAATTGCACAGGGTCACACGCTTTCTGTGGTGGGGAATTGTCTTGATTCCTTGTATTGCTATAGGTGGAGTTGTGTGACTTGTGAGGTGCTGTTAGAGGTCCTAGCTCTGTCTGTTGATGACCTGTATTCTTGCTCTCAGAGGAAAGCCTGTGCTTGCTAAGTGGAGCATGGAGTTAAGCATGATCACAGTGACATTCAAGGCCAAGCTCAGGAGCTGCAAAGAATGACAGGAACTTGCCTACCCCTAGAGGTTAAGACCATTCTTACATATAGTTTGAGGACTTGTGAAATAGCTGGGATTCAGAGTAGAAGTCTTGAACGTTGCCCCTGGATGTTTCCTTAGCACTAGGATGTAGGTGTCACAGATGTTTCAGAGCGAATGGGGAAACTGGAGGATTGGTGTAGCTTCTTAGTAATATCTGGTGCTTGGAACAATGCTGCCATGGCAGTCTACCACTTTTGGTGCAATAATATTGTTTTCTTACAAGCCTGGGGGCCGATCTTTCAGCTTGGTAAAATCCGAGCAATTTTTTTCTGTGGATTAGAGTTTCTTACCATTAAAGGACATATACCAAACTTCATGTCCCTGAAACAAAGCTACTGTTGTAAATAAACAGCGAAATATTTGAGCTAAATTCAGCCTGGTATAGACATCAAGACAATGCTTTAAATTTGGCAAGCTGAAGATCCTGCTTTCTGACTGAGAAATGGTATCATACCTTTAGTCAGTGGTAAAAATTTTGCTTCTAATAAAAGTTTGGAGTATGATTTGTGTCTGGAAGTGGGGCATGCATAACCAATAGTGAGAATATTTTTCCATTGGATCTAACTAGAGTTTTTGTCATTGTTTGGCATATATGTTGGTTACTCGATTCCTCTGTCCGACTTCGGGGGGCGAGGAGGGGGAGGCATGGGGCGGAGAATATAAATACCTGCAGGTTCATGCTGCTTATGGATATCAGGACACTTGCAGGACAGTTCAAGACAGAAGCAGCATGTCGGTAGCAACTTCAAAAAAAAATTGATCCTTTCCTAAGTAAAACAAAGGACCCATTGCTGGGATCTGTCTTAGGGACTTGTTTAGGATAAAATGAAATACAAATTTAATATGAGGAGATTCTTAACACTTGAAACTCATAGGTCCATCAGGTCAAGCTTATTCCTGTTCTTTAAAGTATTCAATTAAGTCACTATTTGCAAAATTTTCCTAGCCAGTAAGATAGTATAAACAGTGAACAGAATCTTGGAAAAAAAATAATAAAAGGGGCAAGGGCAAAATGACCTAAAAGTAAGTGTAAGTGGATTAGAAGGCTGAAATAGAATTCTACTTTGCTGGTTAGAGTCAGCTAGCAGTGCACACAGCAGAGCTATAACAGTCAGTGCTGGAGTCCTTTCACTTGCATCATCTTCAGGGAAATAAGTTTCTTCTGTAGCTGATTTTCCAGGCCTTCCTTTAAAGCCCAGTAGAAGCCACTTATTTGGTGGTTTCTGTGACTTCAGCTGACTCAACAAGAGTTTCAAATTGCTTTTCTATTGCATCTGAATGAAGGTTGTTTGGTAAGTGTGTAAGTTTGCTAAGGTCTGTAATTACCTGTAGATTAAAAACACACTACATGGCAACCGTTACAATGTTGTACTGAAAGGCATACAATGGTTGCTTATCAGACATTACTGCACTGAGGAATTTGCTTGTCCTCTGTATGAGATTTTTTTTTTTAAGATAAGTCTTGTCTTTACTTGTTCTTTTCAATATCTGATTTTGCATGTTACAGCTGTGTTGCTATTTGTACTCACAGCTGAGAATGAAGAACAAATGGAAAGTAAATGCTAACGTCCCCTTTTTCTTCAGAAAAGCCATGTCAAGTGGAACAGTTAGATCGCATCCTGCTCTCTGGAGTCTATAATGTACGCAAAGGAAAGACCCAGTTGCACAAGTGGGCAGAGCGCTTGGTAATTCTCTGTGGTACGTGCCTCATTGTGTCCTCTGTGAAAGACAGCCACACGGGGAAGATGCACATCTTGCCTCTTGTTGGAGGGAAGGTAAGGCTTTTTTTGGTTAGCTTCCTGTGGCTTAGAAAGGAAGAAGGGATTATAACAATGGGTATTATCCACAAGAGGTTAATCTAGGCTTTTATAACAAATTACTGCATTAACATGTGCAGAGAGTTGTACAACCCCTTTCTACTTGCTTTAGTTAAGTAGCAGTCTTAAGGCTAATAAAACGAAGAGACACTAGTTCTGCTTTCACGTTAGTAGCCAATGTTGTGAATGGGCATTCTGGAAATTATTACTTCTTGGACCTACTTCAGCAGAAAGGTGTTGAGAAGGATTTACTTCTGTGTTTCTCTCCAATAGCTTTACAACTGTATTTTCAGCAAATTGTAATGAGTAATACCTCACCCTAGACTTCAGATCCATTGTAATTGCTGGACTTTAGGCAGACTGTTTTGTTTTCAATTCTCCCTTTGCAGGTGGAAGAGATGAAACGTCGACAGTACACACTTGCTTTCACATCTGCTGGAGCACAAGCTCAAACATACCACGTTTCCTTTGAAACGCTGGCAGAATGCCAGCGGTGGCACCGACAGGCATCCACGGTGAGACCCTGGAGACTGCGGTAGTCTCGGTGGTGGGTACAGGGCTAAGAAGGGTTTTCTGATGCAGGGTTGATACACAGGCAGAGTTGAAGCTAGGGTGCTGGAGAAAGTACCCAGGACACTTTCTAGCTTTCTTCATTTCTTACATGCTCAGGACTACAGATTTTCTTTTAGCCTTCTCTTCTCTCTCTGCCTGTGCAATGATGTTGAGTAGTAGTTCTGCATTTTTTTCACCCCCACTGCACCTATTGAGAGTAGCTGATCACATGTCAGTAGAGCAAACCTCAAGGACTGGCTGACTTTACAGCAATAGAAACCTATAAATTGCACCTGTTGCCATACTTGAATCTGCCTATGCTGTGGTCTGGACTGGGGCTACCCTGATAGGTTTGAGTTAACACAGAGATCATAGGTCAGCCAGGGAAATGTAGTGTGTTCAGAGCTGCGTCCTTATTCCACGTTAAAGTACAATTAGATGGAGATAGCTTAATGCTGAGCCACACTTTGACCTCATATATATATATATGATATTACGAAATATTAAATTAGTTCAGGATAAAGCAGGTCATAAAATCTGGAATGAAGCACCAAAGACCTCAAAACAAAGCATACTTAATGAGAGGAGGTCTGATATTTGCAGAGACTTTATGAAATGTTGCAAAACCATAATTTATGAAGCCTTTTCTTCATAACAGGTTATGTTTCCAATATTATACCCTGAACAAGCTGACAAAAGAAAGTCAGAAGAAGTAGCTAGGCCAAGCAGAGGTTCTGTAAACCTTAAAGGACTGAACTGGGAAGTCAACTGCTTCCTGTTGTTACTTGCGTCTTTGGAAGGCATTCAAAGGTTATGTTTTCTCAGCAAGAGTTTCTTCAGCCAAAGATACGGTTTTCTCCATTAGGTTGGCTCTCTTATGGTCTGCTTTTTAGGCAGCACCCATTGCACATGCAGAGCAGGGCTTTCTGTGTGTTCTAGCTGGTATCCAGATATGCACCCTTGTTGGGGGGCTTGCAGAAACAATAGCAGCAAATGGCGTAAACTTACATTCTGTGGACTCTGCCTGGTGGGTACAAGGGGATTCTTTCATGTTCTTGCACATTGTTTACTACTTGCATTCTTTGGCCTTCCATTTGACTTCCAGAGAAAAAATGTTGCACAGCTGCAGCTCTTCCTCCTTTTCAGGTTGTGTCCATGCGACTTAGCATGGTTGATCTTTCATGCTACAGCCTTGAGGAAGTACCTGAGCACCTCTTCTACAGTCAAGACATCATCTACCTCAACCTACGACACAATTTTATGAGATCAAGTGGAGCAGGGAGTCTCGACTCTCTTTGCAGGTCTGCAAAGAATTATTTTTCTTCTACATTTGGAATTCTTGACATGAGCATCTAGGGATGAAGAGGAGCGGGAGTGTATTGCCCATTCTTGGGGGGATGGTAAAAAGATTGATCTTCAGGAAGCTCTAGCAAATGAGGGGGCTAGGAAGCAGAACTGAACAGCGCAGGCAGGCATAAACTTCCAACAACTTACAGTATTCATGAATTCCCCTTGTGCTAAGTTTGGTCTGAGATGAGCTTTGTGGAGCGATACGCCATTTGTATGGACAAGATGCAATAGTAATGTAAGGCTCCTTGCTAAACAGAGAACGTTTTGGGGTATAAAATAAAAGGTGAGGGAAAGCATAATGCTGCTGATATGGGAAAGTGGTTGTAGGAAGAAGGGTAGGTCTGAAAAAGACTGGTTTGGTAAGTTCTTAATGTGCATTTGGAATGGCAGAGGGCCTGGGAAACTCCAGTTTTGCTTTGGGAACTTATAATGATCAGCTTTTAAGAGAGTAGCAGTTGTGTGATAGTACAGAAGCATGATGTAGTCATCTTAGGTAGTGAAAGGAGTCTTACAAAAATATTTTAAAATTAATTCCTGAAAACCATAAAAATCTAGAGGAAGATTAGTCTGTTGATATCTACGCTAGCCATGCTGACAAGAATTCAAGGAGTCACTCTATGAATTTTGAAAGCTGTTGGGAAGGCTGTAGTAATATTGTCAAATGGCTCTGTGTTTGGAACACATTGTGCCTTAGGAAAAAATGTATTTGGAAATTTGCAAAATTGCAGTTTTTTGTTTTGGTTTAGGTGGGTTTTGTTGTGGTTTGGTTTTGTTTATCTCTAGGGGCCCATTACCAGGTTATTTCATTTTTCTTCCTGCAGAGTAATGAGATGCCTAGGTATCCATAAGGGTATACAGGGGGGAAAAATTGCTCACCTGTGGGAATTCTTTGCAGTTTCATTGAGAGACAGAGTCTAGTCTGGTTTTGTTTTAATTCCAAACTTGTTTAAATGTTTTCTAACTGCTGAATTGTAATAGATTCTGTTATTGGAAAAGCTGGTTAAAGTAATGCAAGATTTTGCTTTCTACATGTCTCTTCAAATACATTATATGATGTTGAAAACAGTATCAAAACTTTATTTTCTAAAATGCGGTATCCTTGGTTCACAGGATCAGCAAAGGGTCTTGAAATTTCTTTTGACCTTGCATGTAGTCAACAAGAGATCTGACATGTCAGAAACTCGACTCTTTTCCTGGCAGTGACTATGTCTGATGAAGCTGAAATCCTCAAACAAACAAAAGCCATAAAAGAAGCCCTCGCTTCACAGAGTCTTGAATAAACAGGTAGCATTAGGTAGCCCATGTAAGGCTGCTCATTGCCTTTTGAAAAGATTTTTCTTTCTGAGGTTTGTAGGACGTTTATCAGGTCACAGCCCCAAATGAAGAAACTTGCTCACTTGCAGTAGGTGTTATCAGTGCCTAGAGACTGACAATTGCAAACGGCAGAATTTTTTGCAATGGTCAGATCTCTTCCTCTGTGGAAATCTTTGAAGCTCTAGGAGTCTAATTAGCTATAACTATAATAATGGAACAAAAAAAATTAATACAAGGGAAATGTTAAGCAAAGGAAATTAAATAACCCCACCTGTTTTGGTACAACTCCTAGCTTATTTTTTATGTAACGTGCTGCCTTTCAAGTATCTCCTGTTTCTGGAAAACATTATCAAGCCTGATCTTCATTGATAAGTGTGTGTGTGTACACATGCATATGCACACACATATGCATGTCTATTATCACCATTCTAGCTAGCTGATACAGAGTTGTACTGGGACGCTTAGGCGGCAGAGCAGGATGTTGTATTAAATTGGGAATATTTCAGACCAGCATCAGTTCGAGCTGCTGAACAGAGGATGGTCATCCCATTGAGGATTTGTTGCTGTGTTTCCATACCTCTTTGCTGTAATCTCAATATGCCCAGTGAGAGCGCAGGCCAAAACTTGAGGAGCCATAACAATTTCAGGATCCTTATTCCCTATAATACATGGTTCATGTATACAACTTGAATGAGAGTTGGGTTTGCATTCCATTCCTACATCACTACTGCTTGAGAATATTGGGGCAAAAGAGGAGGAACAGAAGGGGAGCTCAAAAGGGTTTTGAGTATTGTCCTCCTCGTTGAATATGACGGTCTGCTCGAGGAGTCTCAGACCGAGCTGTGTCATGTACCAGTTTCCCTCCAGCTTTTAGAAACTTTAATGCCCCTTTTGTGATTGCTTTGATATTGTTGCAGAGGGATGAATTCTAAAAATTGATTATGCTGTTGCATTTAATGCTGTGCCTCTTTGGGGCAGCCTCTCACCACACTCTGGTAATGACAGAGGAAGAGCTGCTTGGTGTTAAGGACAGGTGCCGTAGAAAAAGCCATTGTACAAGTCCAGAGAATGCAGTTTCATTAAAACATTTTTTGATTCGGAAACCTGAGAACTGTAATCTGTCCTAAATCTCTTAAATTTGAACCAGTTAATGAGAAAGTTCAGATCTGTAGGTTGTCCTCATTGTTTCTTTCTTTTCCGTTATTGTTATGAAGTTTTGTGTGCAAGTTTCTGGTTTTTGTGTCACTGTTAGATCTTTGCATCGTACAGTATGTTCCCTTTAGGAAGGCTATTAGCAATACAGCATCTTTCTCTTTGGCTTTCAGTTGCATTACAAGACAGTCTGTGGCTGCAGCAAACATAAAATGCCTATGCCCTTATTTATATGACAGAGTGCTTTCTCAAAACAAACGACCTATGTCCAAGTTTCAGATACGCTCCCTATTTTAAAAAAAACACCATCCCCCCCTCCCTCCATAAAGCAAAGTGGAGAAATATAATGCATAGTTCCTACACAGATCGTTCCAAGTATTCTGAATCTGAAAAAGGAGTCGCTATAAAGAAGAAAAAGTTTCAAAACCTTTCAGTCTTATACTTCAAGACATCTCAAGCTAGAAGTAATATTCTCCCTTAAGCTAATTAACCTTGGTTTTGTTACCTATATTAAAGCATTTGTTTCAAAATAAGAGCTAGTCACTGTTGTCTACCAACACGTATGGTAGGTGGAGCAGATGAATGAACTTTATGTTTCCAAGAAGTAATTCTCTGGTACATTACATTAGATTCACAGTTGCCTCATAAAGTACGATATTAATTTCCCCACTGAATTAATTTCTGATGGTTCCAGTTTGGGATGAGGAGGTTTTTACTTGGAGGAAAATATTTTTGTTTCCTGTAGAAAGAGGTAGGAACTCTTTGAGAAGAACCTCTTGCATATTACCTTAGCCCATACTCAATTTCTTTTCTCTGTTTGGACTTAGCACAGTGATAGAAGGAGCTGGAACAGTCAACCATCTGCTAAGCACAGGTGGGACTGTAGTGACTGCAAGGACTGTGTCAGTACTTGCATGGCTGTACCTATCATACAGTCTGCAAAGCAAGTGGCGCTTTAGAGGTGGAACCTCTTCAAAGGACCTCTGGATGCAGGTCTTGGTGCTTCCCAGCATGAAGTCAGCACTTTCCTGGTTTTCCCTTTTACAGCTCTGCTAGGCCTTCTGTTGTGCCTAGCTCGAAAAGGGTATTCCTGTCTTCTGTTTTATTCTTGGTATAGTTCCAGTTAGTGTTTTCAGTTCCTATTCTGCCAAGCTGCATAATTGTAGACTGTTACTCTAAATAAATCTTTGAAGGTAGATTTTTTTGAACTGAGTATTTTTAGTCTCCTTAATCTTAGTAGCAGTAACCAGGACTGTCAGGAGTCAGGATACAAGGTTGTTATCAGTTTCTGCAGTAAAACCATGGTATTTGATCACTTTTGGCATTACCACTGAGATATTAAATATCAGTGACTTAAAACCAAATTTGTGCAGAAACTCCCATAATGAGCTAGCTGACTGTATCGCCAGTGTACAAAAACTTTAAAAGTCTTTGACTGGTTTTGTATGTTTTTGCTTTGAGACCATGGAGGTTTGTGAATTAACTAGTATTCTTGCCAATAGGTTTTCTCAGTTGAAGAGCCTGAACCTGTCTCATAACAGACTGGGAGAGTTTCCTGTATCACTGTGTGAGATCTCTACTCTGACAGAGCTTAATATTTCCTGTAATGGACTCCATTACTTGCCAAGCCAGATTGGCAAACTGTTGAAGTGAGTATATTCTTTTTATCTGTGGTCATAAACATCCTTGCCACTTCAGTTGGTGAAGGTCCTGCTTAGAAAGTATGAGTGCTGGGGCAGCCTGTTCTGCCCGTGAAGACTGAATGATGGATTTGACTGCAGCAGAAGGTCAAGAACCAAGATGTCCAATAAGGTTCACTTTTCCTTGAAAATGAAAATATCACAGTATGTTTATACAGTTGCCATTTTAAGTCACTGGTATATAGCAAGATATCATTGTTTGTGACTTCCTGCCTGTTCTGCTAGCTATGTAAAATATAATAGAGGAGATTAATGGGTTTTGCCTATTTTGGAGTGGCCTAGGAAGACACTTAACAGTCAGTTATGATGCCTTGAATCACAGGTGCTGCCTTGCTGAACTAGAGTTCTAAGCATATGAGTATACTCTCACTTAAGGTTTAGTAAACTTGAAGCTTTTTGTGTTCTCCCTGGGGTGTGTGTTTTGAGGGTTTGGTTTTTGTTGGTGTTTCATTTTGTTTTTACTTTGGGGTGACTCGCATGATTTCTTGAGGGTTTATGCTCAATTTTTATGTAAATTTGAATGCATCCTTTTCTCCTTGCATCTGCTGCCATCTTGCATTCCCTTGCCTGCTTTCTTGTTATTTCCTTCCTACATTCTCTTCTACACTTTTGTTTAAACTACTATTATGGTGGTGCCTTCTCACTTAAACATGAATATTGTTATGTTTACATAAAAACAGTTAAGAGTTTCTAAAGATTGTGCTGTCAGGGGCATTTCCAGAAGCCGCAGAATAGTACAGTGAAATATCTATGGAGATCAGCTAGGCTTAGTAGAACTAGGGAAAAATGTACATGCCTCAAATTCTGAGGCCTAGCTAGTGGACCTTACTTACATGAGCAAGAGCATGCTGGTTATATTGCTGCAGTATTCATCAATGCCTTACACAAAAGGGATTGCAGATTTCTTAACTGTATGCAAGTTTAAAGTATGAGGGTACCTTATAGGACCAAAGAGAGTCTCAGGTGCAATTCCTTAATCACTACTATTAAAACATTACAGCTGCTGATGTAGAAAAGATGAGGAAACATGATGCAGATGAAGCATTGTCTGAAGACAATCATATTGTTTCTCAAATAAGTTAATGCGCATTTTTCTGCAGATGCAGAGGTGTGTGACTTTCTGAATTTCTATTTATTATTAAAGTTTTAATTTATTGTATAAAACTTTTCTGTGGTTACTTCTCATAGAGGTCTAGTGATTTTTGTCAGCGCTAGTATGTTTTGATAGCTTTCTACAGAATTGGTTGCTTTTTATGTGAGAAAGCAGATTTTAACATGGAAATACTTGGGGAATCCCCTCTGAAAATTTTGTCTTAAAGTGTTTGCTGGTGGAAAAACCTTCTCTTTTTTCCTCAGTAGCTACCCAGAATGCATAAATGCTTAAGCTTAGGTAAATTTGATTGCAAGACTATTATTGCATTTGTTTAGATAAACATTGCTATTGAGATGGTTCATTGTGGCCTGTTCTTCCTCCAGCTTACATCTTTGAAAAAGGAGCGTCTGCATCTACATTGGATGTAAGCAAGTCACTTACAGAGTGATCTTTTAGCTATATGCAAACTGTGAGGAAAAAGCTGTATGCAGACTTGCAGTTTTTACAACTTAGTTATGGGTCCAGTCACCTTTATGACCTCTTGAACCCTTATTCATAAGAACTTTTTATGGCCCCAGATTGCATTTCTACCACTACTAAACGCTGTTCAGAAAGTTCTTTATTGGAACATAATCATAATAAGAAAATTGTATTTTGGGGGTTTGAGTGTCAAAAGCCATGCAGACTTTTAAAACAATTCGTCTTGCAACAGAAAGCTACCCTATTGTTTTCTGAGTGTCTGAAAGGACAACTAGAATGTAAAAATCTGTTACCAGTGCAATAGTGTGGTAGGAATTGTGATTAAAATGTGCCATAGATGTGAATAAGTGCTGTAATAGGGATATGAGATTCCAGCAATTGGATGATGAAGGTGCAATTGATTTTTATTGTTTCTTATGAGACAGGTCTGTACTGTAACTGCTGTCATTTTTGGTTTTAGTTTGTCATAGGTCTTTTAAAGATTGTCCGGCATGCTAAGTGAGGAGTTCTTAATTTGTAGAAAACAAAGTGATTAAGTAAATATCTTGTCACTTACAACGTAAGTACTGATTTGTATTTTGCTTATGTTAACTTACAGTCTTTGGCACAACTGGAAGTTTACCTCCAAAATAATTTAGGAACTATTTAGTATTGCATACATGCAGTACCAAGCCTATTACATGCATAATAAAAGTACTCCAGTAACTTTATGTGTATAACAATATAATTATCTGTTACGTACCTTTAAAAAAACAGCCACACTGAGACCAGGTAGCTATACAAGGAAATTCACTGAAAATGCTAAATGTGATGTTCACTACTGTTTGCTGAATTATTTTCTTTCTCTTTTTCACCACTGCAGTCTACAGACCTTCTGGCTTGATGGGAATTTCCTCACGTCCTTACCAGAAGAACTGGGATGTCTGCAACAGCTCAGCTGTCTTGGGCTTTCCTTCAATAACTTCTGTGAACTGCCAACAATTTGTGAGAAACTCGTCATCTTAGACAAACTAGCCCTGGCAGGGAACTTGCTAGAGACCCTGGACCTTGCAGCACTGAACCGTATGAGTCACATCAAAAGTGTGGACCTGAGGTAAGCGGGGGGGAAAACCTGCATACATATATAAACGAGATTGCTACTTTCCATTTACAGCAGAGGAGCTGTGTAACTTCTAGTACATTTTGCAATAACTAGGTGTAATTTTTTCTCTTACTGATTCTTTAGCTTTTAGGGAGTTCTGTTTCTGAGGGTGTGCAGAATTCACTTAGAAAAGCAAGGTTAACTGAGCAATGCCTGAAGCCACTGAATGTGACTCTGCCCTCTAGTTTCCTCTTTTGATATGCTGTTACCATGAGCTTCGGTAGGTCTTTGATCTCTCCTGCCCTTTTTTGCCTCCCCCTTCCCTGCACCCTAGAGAGATGATCCTGATTCTCCAGGCTGCCGACTGCAGAGCTCTCAGAAAGGGACAAAGAAATTTTTGTCCGTGGCAAGGCAGTCTAGTGTCTAGTCTCTGCATTAGCTTCCCGTGTCAGTGCAAAGTAGCTGTCCCTATGCCTGACTTGTAATTTCTAGACTGGTCTTCAGAATCTCTTAAACATTGGGGAATGAGTAAAATGGTTTCATATAGCAGTGCATGCAAAAGAAATGTTTTTTGTTTGTATTCACTGCCTGAAATCCACCATTGCTCCTCATGCATTTCACTGTGCTTACCTTTGACGTTAGCCTTCACCAGAACTCTTCCTTTCCTCTCCTTTCTTCTCTCTTCTTACTGCTCTCCAGTGTTCAGTGTCTTATTTTCTGACTTTGTAACTCTTATCTCTGAGTTTAGGCTGAACAACCTGAAGAGAGCAGCAGCTGACACTCTGGAGGGGAACAAATCTGTGATTTACATGGATTTACGAGACAATCAGATGACAGATCTGGATCTGAGCTCCTTGGGCAGCCTGGAGCAGCTGCACTGTGAGCGGAATAAGCTGAAAGAGTTGACGCTGAGTGGCTTCTCCCTTCGGGCCCTCTATGCCAACAGCAACTGTATGTCTCTCTGCCTTCTTCACCTGCCTTCTTCCTTCAAGCCCTGGGAACAAAGGGAAACAGCCCTTTGCCCTTTCCCACACACACAAAAAAACTTACGCTGATGTTACAGTAGTGGGACCCTATGTGATGGGTCTTCTGAGGTCAGCTCCTAGGGATCACATATGCATCTATGTGCGCAGGCTGTGTAACGGGGAGGTTGTGGTGTTGAGTACTGTCCAAGGAATTCATCTTCCAGTGAGATCTGTTTGGGAGTCCATAAATAAAAGTACCATTCTCCCTTGTTCTGGTGCCCTACTTGGCAGGTGGAAAAATGGGATAGTGAGAAGCTGTAGTGCAATATGGCAGATGTATGAAGTGTGAACTTTGTCTTGGGAAGGATGAGTAGAGACCTTGAGTATCCATAAAGTAAGACTATGAGTCTCACTTGCTAGCTAGTCTGTCTGTTTCTCTGTGCTGTTTTCCCTCTGAAGCTCTGCAATCATAATTATTTGCTTTCCTTCATCAGGTCTGACAGCTGTCAATATTTATCCAGTTCCTGGTCAACTGACATGTCTAGAACTCTCTCAGTAAGTGACTGTACACCACAGAATAAAAAGCAAATATCTGGACACCTTTGCTGTTTTCTGCAGAAATTGTCTGGAGCTTTTAAGCTTTTGAAAGAGTTTGAGAGCAATTAAGGGAAGGCACTCCATCTTCACAATAGAACTGGAAAGCTCAGCACTAAAGAATGCTGAAAGTGTCCCAAACCAGAAGCCCTTCTGAACCAGTATGACCTGTCTAGGTGACTGGCTGTCCTTCAGCTGTAGGCTGAAATCGGCACAAAAAAGCCAAGCAAGGACCACTGAACTTGTGGCAGCTTGCTGGGCTGAATGGTGGGAATCTGTGGAGCAAACACTTAGAGTAGCTGCCACTGATCTCTGCTGTTGGCTCCATTGCCTACATCTACCCTTGGAGCAGCATTGCGAGACCTCTAAGACAGGATGCCCAGAGGACCTGATCATCTTTTGCTTCAGTTCTGGGTTGAAGCACAATAGCAGGATAGCTTAGCGTGGCTTGTTCTGCTGATGTCAGTGCTGTAAACAAAAAGCCTGAGCATAAGAGCCTTGCATCATTACTTTCTACCAAACATGCACCAGCTCAGTTTGCATACACAACTAGCCATGAGATATAAATTCCATGTGACTAGCTCGGGTGTTGTTGTTCATTTTCTGCTTATTGTTCTTGGTCTGGCTGTCACTAATGTCATGCAACATTCAAATAGGGTATGTTGCATATGGAGTGATGGTGTCTAGCTTTTCCCCCTTGCTTTTCTCAGCAATCAACTGCAGTGTGTCCCAGACTGGGCCTGTGAAGCAAAGAAACTGGAAGTTTTGGATATGAGCTACAACCTCCTTGTGGAACTTCCATCGAGGTCAGCAAACCTTCTTATACAGAGCTGAGCTTTCTTCTGTGGTGAGCTGACTGGGGAGAGAGAAGTAGTGGTATTCCAGTTGCTTTATTCCTTGTTGTGCAGAGATATAATCCACTTACTTTCTCTGTGCAGTGTCGAAAATACTCTGTATTCAAATGTTGGAAAGAACTGACTTCCAAATCAGCTTCTTGAATAGCAGGGGCCAGGTAATTTCATCCTATGCTTCTGGCTTCTACTGCAGCTGTTTGCATCTGAAGTAGAACACACTGCTATGATTTATGTGTGTTACCATAGTGTCTGTGAACACAGGTCGTAGGTGAGGCCCTAATAAGCCTTGCATTGCCTCACAAAGATTTTGTCTCTGACCTTTCGTAGGGAGATATCACAGAGATATGATATAGCTGATCTCAAAGGTAGCTTTCGCAACACGTTATCAGCCAACTCCTTTCTCCCTGTTTCCCTTTCAGTTTCTGCAGAAATGCAGTAAAGGGGAGCGTAGAACTAATATAATTTTGCAGATACTTACAATGACTTCTCCAAGGTACCAGGGATATAATGGGAAGAAGCAAAGCACAAATGTTCTTAGTCTAACAAGTGTGTTTGGTGGGGTGTGATTGTAATGAATGAGACACGGTGTCTAGGGTAAGCTATACTGAAATTGAATGGGCGGTTGGATTACAGTGAAGAAATGCAGAGAGCAGGTTGAAGCAGTTAAAGCAGCAGGCATAGGAGGTGATCTTAGCAGTGACATTCTAATGGTTGCCAGAGAAAAGACTATATTCATCAAAAGCAAGAAGAGAATGTAACACGGATGCGATAATGAGAACTTGGACAAGAATTTTAGCCATGCCAATGGATGAAAAAGACCAAATTTTAAGTATGTTGTATAAAAAAAACCTGCAGAATTCAGACACAGAAATATATATATTCTAAAAAGAAATCTAAGCATTTTTAAAGATTCCTAAATGCTGAAATTTACTGTATCCATTCAGGGTCTCTTCCAATATGTGTTTGTCATCAACACTGTAAGTATGTCTTGTGTACAGTCAGAACCTCACCAGCATTGACTTTTAGCCATCAATCAGGTTAATCCAGCAGACTAAAGCTTAAAGAGCCTCATGTAAGGGGATACAGTTCACCATGAAGTTGTTTTACACTTAGTTGCCTGAAGACAGAATTGTGTCAAAGTGGGGCATGACAGTGTTGAGTGCAGATACCCACGCCAGCTCTGGGTGAGCCAGCTTGAATAAGGAAATTGGTGTATCTGCATTTAAATGGCTTTTTTTTCCCCCCATTATCATTAGCTTTGAGAAGCCACAGCATACAGAAAGAAACTGAATTAATTGGCCTGCATGGAGCAGTGCACTAACGCAGCTTTAGCATTTCATGCATCAAAGCTGTTCTGTACAGGGCTCTCAGAATATAGTCCCAAATGATCACCTCACGCAAATGGTCAGGGTGGTTCTAGGCTATGTCCAGATGTGTTCAGATACCCTCTCTCAGAATCCCTGCAAGCAGTTCTCTGCAGTTCCTGGGGACAGAAGCCTTTTCCTTCAATGAGCACTGCAATTCCAGGGAGTGACAACAGCCTCAGAAGTAATACAGGAGTGCTAAGTGGCCGGTTAAAGCTCTGACTTTAAGTTGGCACAGAGGAAGAACTTCCTTCTGCCTACAAGTGAAAACAGGCATTTAAATCCATCCTTTGTGATTTCTCTTTTTTTTTTGTCTGCCTGAGACAATGCTAGAGCTATGCACAGACAGACTTGTATCACAAGTAACTGATCTGCAGTAGCATAGAGGGAAATGTAAATACACTTCCAAGCATTCAGACTGAGGCACCTTACCATGTGTGGTTTTCTGCTTTGTCATTGTTTACATTTTATAGATCAGTGTATTTTAATTTTTCTCTGCTGTATAGTCAAATTATAATAGATTATATACTACCATTTCCCACTCTGTGGATGTGAAGAGGAGTGAACTAAGCTGATACAGAAAACACTGTGTCTTTCTAGGATCCTCAGCAGCTTGAGCCTTCAGAAGTTGATGGTGGGGCACAATCATCTGCAGAGCCTTCCAGCTCTTCTAGAGCACATTCCACTGGAGGTGCTGGATCTTCAGCACAACCTGTTGACTAAACTCCCGGAGATGCTCTTTGTCAAGGCTCTGAAGTGAGTGGCAGTAGTGAGCGTCTTTTGTCTGCATTAACCTTTGGAGCTGTAAAGGCTGATAGTGGCATCTGCGTGACTGTCCTTGCAAGATGCCATTTGCATAAGAGATAATGAGGTGTGCAACTTTATGAGGAGGTAATTCAGGTGCCATAAGGGAAGTCATCAAGTTGATTTGAGGGAATCGGTCCATGTTACTGTTTAATTACAGGAAAACAGAGGCTTGCCTAACCCAACAGCCAACTGAAGAATTAGCTTCAGTTGCAACTGTTTCTAAGGTCATGTTACTGCCTGAAAAACTTTGTCTTTAAAAGTAGTGCATAAATTCAGGTGCAAAGGAAAGAAGCCATACAGATTTTCAGATATTACAGCAGAAAGTACATCAGGTCATTGGAGAACAGCAAGAGAGACCCTTACAAACGAACAAGCCTTCATAACTGTCTATTCAGACATGTGTCAGCCCTTCTTCTAAAGACTCTGAGTAAGAATTTATGTAGTCTGCTTCCACCAGTATTACCCACCCCCTCCACAGGCTTTTCAGTACTTACTGTTTACTGTAAAATGCTGTGTGCATCCACAGTGCTATATAGCTAATAAGTCATTAGTAGACTCATAAATCTTAATGTGAGTAGGGATGTTACACTGTGTTGTCTGGCCTCCCGTCTAATGCTGTTGCTCTGTCCTCACTGGCATTTGTATAGCTCCTTTTCCTCCTGCTAATGGAGTGGTTTAGATGATGTGAAGTCTGATTTTTGCACTCGCTATGGTTAGCCTCAGGTACCTGAATGCATCTGCAAACAACCTGGAGTCCTTGCCTTCTGCATGTACAGGGGAGGAGAATCTGAGCATGCTGCAGCTACTTTACTTGACCAATAATAACCTCACAGATCAATGCATCCCTGTCTTGGTGGGACACCTGAACCTACGGATCCTGCATCTGGCAAACAACAACCTACAGACTTTCCCTGCAAGGTAAATAAGTAAGGCTGGTGGGCAAGACAGTGTTTATGAGGAGGGTGTTGCCTGCCTTACTGCGATGGTACATGAATCAGTGTCAAAGCAAGATGCTCTGCCTGTGACTTGATGACAAAAACCTGCCATTCCTACACACACACTGAGGAACAGCATGTTAAGGGGGATTGGCACAGGGTACTGTTGGCAGCAGTGGTTCCTGCTCTCCCTAGTTGTGGGGGATGGGGGTAGTATTTCTTTGCAACTTCAGTGCTACTGGCATGCAGCTTGCTGTGCTGTATTTTTTCACTTTTCAGTCTTGCCAGAAGACCCTTAGTCAGACTTGCTGAACTCCTGCCCAATGCAGGTCATATAATTTCATACATTAATTAATGCACCAGCCTTATGATTTGGAGTTGAAATAGAGATAAATCTATGGTCAGCATAGGTGCTCCTGGGTGCTCCTTCTTGCCCTTTTTGAAGACTGGAGTGTCATTGGCTTTCCTCCAGTCCTCAGGCACCTCTCCTGTTCTCCATGGCCTTTCAAAGGTCACGGAGAGTGGCTCAGCAATAACATCTGCCAGCTCCCTCGGCACTCATGGGTGCATCCCTTTGGGACCCATGGATTTGTGGGTGTCCAGTTTGCCTAAATGATCTCTAACTCAAACCTCCTCAACCAAGGGAAAGCCTTCCTTTCTCCAGGCTTTCTCTCTTACCTCCAGGGTCTGGGATTCCTGAGGGCGTACCTTAGCAGTAAAGACTGAAGCAAAGAGGGCGTCCAGTAACTCTGCCTTCTCTGTATCCTCCATCACCAGGGTACCCACCTTGTTCAGGTGCGGGCCCACATTTTCTCTAGTCTTCCTTTTGCTGCTGATGTACTTGAAGCCCTTCTTGTTGTCTTTGACATCCCTTGCCAGATTTAATTCCAAGTGGACATTAGCCTTCCTCGTTGCATCCCTGCATGCTCTGACAACATTCCAAGTGCCCTGTCCCTTTTTCCACATTCCTCCTTCCATTTGAGTTTTGTCAGAAGCTCCTTGCTCATCCATGCAGGTCTCCTGCCCCCTTTGCTTGATTTCTTACTCATAGGGATGCACTGATCTTGAGCTTGGAGGGAGTGGTGCCTGAATATGAACCAGCTCTCTTGGGCCCCCCTACATTCCAGAGCCCTAACCCATGGGATCCCTCCAGGTAGGTCCCTGAAGAGGCCAAAGTCAGGTCTCTTGAAGTCCAGGGTAGTAATGCTGCTTACTGCCCTGCTTCCTCCACACAGGATCCTGAACCTCACCATCTCACGGTCACTGTAGCCAAGGCTGCCCCCAACTTCACATCCCCAACCACGCCCAGTACAAGAAAGAGGTGGACGTGTTAGAGTGGGTCCAGAGGAGGCCGTGGAAATGGTCAGGGGACTGGAGCACCTCTCCTATGGAGACAGGCAGAGAGAGTTGGGGTTGTTCAGCCTGGAGAAGAAAAGGCTCTGGGGACGCCTTAGAGCAGCCTGCCAGTACCTAAAGGGGGCTTATAAGAAAGGCACAGAGAGACTTTTTACCAAGGCCTGTAGTGACAAGGGGCAACGGTTTTAAACTGAAAGAGGGTAGATTTAGATTGGACATAAGGAAGAGATGTTTTATGATGAGGGTGGTGAGTGCCTGGCACAGGTTGCCCAGAGGAGCTGTGGGTGCCCCATCCCTGGAAGCGTTCAAGGTCAGGTTGGATGGGGCTTTGAGCAACCTGGTCTGGTGGTAGGTGTCCCTGCCCATTGCAGGGGGGTTGGAGCTAGGTGATCTTTAAAGGTCCCTTCCAACCCAAACCATTCTGCGATTTTATGATTTTCCAAGCATAGCTTAAGAAAACTTCAGCTGACTATGCATAATGATAGTTTTTAGTTTCTTAGTATGTGAGGAGGGTTCCTCTGAATGCTTTCCAAATTCTCTATGCTTTTATGGCTATGTAGACGACACAACTTGGACACTGCTCAACTGAAAATCATAAGCAGATAACGTTGGTTGTGAGCATCTACCTGAGTCCTCTTCTGGTGACATCTTTATACACCATTCTGTTCTGAGTACCTGTTCATCTGACTCAAGCCTTTTTCAGAGCCATGTCTCTGAGGATTGTTTCCTCTCTCATTGTGACTTGTACAAGTTCCTATGTGCATAACATTACTTACCTAATTTAAATCACATGCTCTTAAGGGAAGTTCATGTTACCAAACAGTTCATATTACTCTATGTTGAAACTGAGATTCCACCATATTTTTTATCTGCAAATTTTACTAGGTATAATTTGGTGAGTGTGTATATGTTTTTCTCATCAATCACTGATCTGTTGACTGTCATTGAATCAAAAATACCTCACCGCAGACCCGTACTAGAAAAACTTACACTGAATTCTTAATTCATTATTACTTTTCCGTATCTTCTGCAATCTAGTTTTGGGATATCAAATAAATTTTCTTTGGAATATAGTACAGACCTAGTGCTCTACTGGTAGACTTCTGTGTCAGCTTAATTTGTAGTCTCATAAAAACCAGGACATTTGGTTACCTTAGCACAAAAATCTAAGGTGGTTTTTTTTATTATTATTATTAATTATGTTGGCACAATTAATTCAGTATTGATTGCATCTGTGCAAGTTTTGCCGTGATTCTTCATGGTACTGGCCAGGCTAAACAACCACTTTCATACAAGTCTGTTTATTCTTACAAAGCACACTGACACAGCTTAGGGGTTTTTTGCCAGTTTTAAAATTAAGACGCTACAATCATCTTCTTTAGTGCTTTAGAAGTCAAGGATGAAGGGATCTGTCTGTTGTATAAATCCCAAGCCAGGCTTGGGGACCCTGAGCTCTTACTAGAGCATCTCTTAGGACTTTTGGTTTCCTATCAATAAATGAGAAATGTAGCTCATAAAGGGCAGTGTCTATGGATACCTTATTTGCAGGTTCAGAAAGTGACAAGTTCTTGCCTGTAAGTATACTTTTGTTTCCCTTTCAGCAAACTTAGTAAGCTGGAGCATTTGGAAGAGCTGAATCTGAGTGGCAACAAATTGAAAACAATTCCCACAACAGTGGCAAACTGCAAGCTACTTCATACACTTATTGCACACTCTAATGAAATTAGCATCTTTCCAGAGATCCTGCATTTGCCCCGTATTCAGGTATTCTTATGGAGAAGGTAAAGAGATATCAGGGGAAAGCTTGGGTTGGAGAATGAAGAGTAACTGCTTGGAGAGGTACTGGAGATCCCAGAATTTTGCTTGATCAACCCAAGAAGAGGGCACAGAATATGCATTCTAGATCTGTCGCCTGAGTTGATCAAAGATGGATCATCTCTCATTCCTCTTTACCACCTGTCTCTGACTTGATGTGTTTCTGGTTTACCATTTGAGACAGTGGGGCATGTCCTATAGCTAGGCAGGTTTGTATATATAGGCCTCTTTAGTGTGACCTATTCTTTCAGTATTGGAGTCCTGGCTATTGCAGGTTATAAGTATTTGCTTCCTATAAATCATTTTTCTATTGATAAGTCAGACCCATTTTCATGACCTGTTTGTGGAATACAATCAGTAGTGGGGTCATACGATGTTTGGAAGGAGCACTGGAGTAACTGATCACATGACAGAACAGAGAATATTTTCTTTGTCATTGTGATTTTTTTTGATACTGCAGTTTGTGGACTTGAGCTGCAATGAGTTAACTGAAATCCTAATCCCTGAGGCACTGCCAGGTGCCCTGCAAGAGTTGGACCTGAGTGGAAACACAAACCTGATGCTAGAACACAAGACACTGGACATCTTCAGGTGAGCTGTGGAGATGCCAACCCGGTAGTGACCTGCACAGGGAAGGGTAACCCTTCCCAGGAGGGGAAATGGAACAATAAAGTGTGTATCACAGCACTGCATAATGTTATAATGTTCCTCACCTGAGGTAGCTGAAGCTTTCTGTCTTGTAGGAAGGGAAAAGTCTGGGTCCAGATCATCAGAGCAAGCAAACAATTTCTCAGATGGTATGAGGTTCTCCCAGCTGTCTCTGGCATAAGCAGACAGACATCTCCAGAATATGAAGACGTTAAACTCTTCTCCTCGGTGCAATTCTTTCCATAGGCTGCTGTCTAAAACTCTAGACTGGACAAGGTACTTTGGCCACAAACTGTTCAGTGGGGTTTAGGAAAGAATGACTTCTGTTCTTCTCTCTCTGTAGTCACATTACCACACTGAAGATTGATGCTAAGCCCTCCCTCACAGCAGACTCAGCACTCACTTCTACCTTCTGGAGTCATGGAGTAGCTGAGATGACAGGCCAAAGAAATAAGTGAGTATTGTAACCTGCTGGACACTGACACTTTGTCTTCTCCACATGCTAGGTGGAGTCCACTGCAAGGCATCCAAGCAGACATGTTTTGCTCAAGAGCTTATCCATCCCTGTGTGTCTCCAGATCTCTTGCTAACTCTTGGTAACTCAAGCCTCTGCATTGTCCTTTCTCTCAGTTTCCACACTTACCCTGGGATACTTGGACTTTGCTTCCCACCCTAGCAGAGATGCTTTTTCTTTGTCTTGCCAGTTGCCCCCTCCTGAGTGTGGTCAAGGAGGGTTCAGGAGTTCCAATAATAAAGTGTAGCTGTATATCTCATGGGACAGTGAATGTAGAGCCAGTGGCTTTGCTGCCCTCTGAGAACAGCACTCACAGCAAGGTGCCTGCTGGCTGTGGTTTTGGGGACGATGTAATCTTTTGAGACATACTAACTTTGCTTGTATGCTTTTCTAACAGGCTGTGTGTGTCATCCCTGGCACTGGGGAGCTTTGCAGAGGGGATGGAGGCTGTGTATGGCATGTTTGATGGTGACAAGAACGAGGAGCTGCCACGCTTGCTGCAGTGCACCATGGCCGATGTGCTCCTGGAGGAGGTACAGCAGTCAGACACCATGTTCATGTCCAACACCTTCTTGGTCTCCCACAGGTAGGATGGTGAGCAAGCTGGTCCTGGTGGGACCTGCATAGGTATATCACTTAATGTGTTAGGTGGGGTGAGGCAGCCCTCCAGAATGCCTGTCACAGGGGTCTGGAGCCTTCCTGCACGTTCTCCTCCAACAGGAAGCTGGGCATGGCTGGGCAGAAGCTGGGTTCCTCTGCTGTCCTTTGCTATATTCGTCATGACGTGGCTGATCCAGCCAGCAACTTTTCTCTGACGGTGGCCAATGTGGGGACGTGCCAAGCCATTTTGTGCCGAAGTGGAAAACCACTGCCTCTCTCCAAAGTCTTCAGCCTTGAACAATGTTCAGAAGAAGCCAAGAGAGTCAAGGAGCAAAAAGCCATTATAACAGAGGTTGGTTTGGACCCTCTTCACTTCAGCTTCCGCTCTCCCGTAACAGCTTGGTACAAATACATGAGCTCTGCTGCCTGCACAATACTGTGGGGGAGAGAATGGCATGAAGGTGTTAGAGTGACTTGTCTGTTGCTTGCTGCTCTGCTTCTCTTGCTGATTAGCTGTTCAGAATGGCATGTTCCTAAAACACCTATTATGGCCTGAGAACTACAGGTACAGGATGCCAAGGATGGCTTCAGTAAAGAGGAAAGGAAATAGGTGTGGAGCTAAAGGAGGGGAAGTCCATAGTACTGTGCTTGACTTGGGTGAGTGTGGAGAGGAGCCACTGAAGAACAGAGCAGGGCCTGGGAAGTCATCTTGTCTCAAAACCCACAAAATATCTTTGTTGTTTCTTGAAAAGTATGACTCAAGTTACCTCTCTTTGGATTTCTTCTGTATTTCACTCAGTGAAGGTACAGGATTAGTGGCCCTTGAGACATGCAGAACATGGATATAAAGTATATTTTAACACAAAAACAGACAGAAATGTTCATTGGTTTTATGCGAAAGTATTAACATGATTTCTGGGGAACTCTATAAAGGTTAACTTTCTAAAAACTTGGAAATAACAGAATTTCCAAAGAACTGGAAAATATATCATTGGTGAAGATCTGAGAAATCAATACCAGTCATATTAGTTTTATGATCAGTGGGTCTTTTAAAAAGTATCAGGTTGTTTGATAAAAGTGTTTCTGACAGGGATAATATGTTAATGTGTTAGAGCTCTGCAAGGTGCTATATTGCATAGCAGTGGCTAAAAATAACAGGAATCAATGAGGCACAGTAAATGGTTTAAAAACTGACTGATGAATGGACCCTGAAAAATAAAAGTGAAATCCTTGTCTAAGGAGACTTCCCTGCATGTGTCCGCTGCTGGTTTTTAATACTTAGCAGCAGTAACATTTAACACCCAGAGGATACAGAAATTAAGCACACTGAAATTAAATTCAAGACACCGGGGAAGCTGTGTATTCTGTACGCACTGAGTTAGAAAAGGGACTGAGGGCTGTGGGTGATTTTTCTGTCCAGGAGATTTAGTACCAGGCTGGCCAGGGGACTGCCTAGCACGAACAGGAAGGAGGTAATACCTCCAGATAACAACAGTAGTGTGAGATACCTACTACTTCTTCTCTTCCTCAGGATGTAGTGACCACACTTCAGAATGCAGATATATGTTAATAAAGAGGGAAATACTCAGAAAATACATAGAAATTATTTAATGTCTGGATAATCTGCCTTGCAATGAGAAAGTAAAAAGTCACTCTGTCAGTCATACTGAAAAAATAAGTTTCATGTAAGACTAATGAGTGAGATTCTATGATCAGTGTGCTGCAGGTAGTCTAGCTGCACATTTCTGGATAGTTTGCTACAATTCTTCATAATGTGACAAAAAGTCTTGTTGCATAAAAGTGTGTTACTGACAGCATGGGTGATCAGGTACAGTGCATGTCTGTGCTGTGGTTCCTGGACCTAGATCCCTGTCTCCTATACTGTAGCTGTGTACTGGCATTTCTCAAGGCTCCAAACCAGTATATGGGCAGGGGAAAGATTGCTCTCCCAATGATCTATTAGATCTAATGCTACTGCCTTGTTTCTCTTGTCTGCAGGACAATAAGGTCAATGGTGTGACTTGCTGTACTCGGATGCTGGGCTGCACGTACTTGCATCCTTGGATCCTGCCCAAACCACATGTCAATTCCATTCCACTGACGGTACAAGATGAGCTGCTACTTCTAGGGAACAAAGCTCTCTGGGAACACCTTTCTTACACAGAGGCTGTCTCAGCCGTGCGCCACCTACATGACCCACTAGCTGCTGCAAAGAAACTCTGCACTTTAGCCCAAAGCTATGGTTGCCAAGACAATGTAGGTGCAATGGTGGTGTGTCTGAACATCAGTGAGGACAGCTGCACGTGTGAGATGCATGGCCTCACTCTGCCAGGTCCTGGGGGTTTTAGTTCCACCATCACCAAGCCAGCAACACCTTCATCTAGCAGTGGAATTGCCTCGGAGTTCAGCAGTGAACTGTCTGCTTCTGAGGTTAGCAGTGAGGTGGGCTCTACTGCTTCAGATGAACATAATGCTGTTGGTCTTGATGGCAGTTTGCTACCACGACAAGAGCGACGTTGCAGCCTACATCCTGTGCCCCCCTCAAGCATCTTTCAGCGCCAACCTTCTAGTGCTACCTTCTCTAGCAACCAGTCTGACAATGGTCTGGATAGCGACGATGAGCAGCCTGTGGAAGGTGTGATGACAAATGGCAGTAAAGTAGAGGTAGAGGTGGACATCCACTGCTGTAAAGGAAAGGGCCTGGAGTTTGAACCTCCTGCTGCAGAGTACAGCTCCTCTGCTCCAGGGCCAGAGGATGACTCTGGGCTTGTCCTTGTCATTCGGAGACAGAACAGTGTGAACAGCAACACTGTGCAGAGAGGGGTCAAGGAAAAGTGTGAACTGCAAAAATCGCTTTCCACATGCTGTCTCTATGGAAAGAAGCTTTCCAATGGCTCCATAGTGCCCTTGGAGGAGAGCCTCAACCTCATTGAAGTAGCTACAGAGGCACCCAAGAAGAAGACAGGATATTTTGCTGCTCCATCCCAGATGGAGCCAGAAGATCAATTTGTGGTGCCACCTGATCTGGAGGAGGAAGTGAAGGAACAAATGAAGCAGCACCAGGAGAATGGAGCAGATCAGGAGCAGAAAGAGGAACATGCAGCGACTCTGCCAGAGGAGTTTGACACAGCTTTGTAACCCTACAAGTATTGCTCCCACATTGTCTGTCCCAGGAAGCTCTGTCCCATAAGGGCTCTCTTGCCCTCCAAGTGGAGCTGGGATCTGCAAGGAGTACAGGCATCTGCTGCTTCCTTAATGGAGTCATGGAAGAATTGGGAGTGCTAAGGTCTGGGCTGTCCACTCTTCACTGTAGAGTCTCAGTTGTTCAATGAGCACTCAGACCAGCAGCTGAGCTCTGTGTTAGGGACCTTCTGGAAATTGTGCAAGCACTAGGAAGAAGGCAGGTGTTCCAACACCTGCCTGTAACTCCTTGAACCCTGAGGTTCTGCCAGTTCTGCAGGAAAGGAGCTGGCATATGTGTGTGTGGGGTGAGGAGAATGCTGAGGGGGCAATGTTCAGTGTTTGGAGTCCTGTGAATATTTCTGATGTGCCCTCCCCCAGCACCTGAATTTGTTATTCCTTGAAAGAATACAGCCAGTTGCAACAAAGCTGACCCAAGAATGGTTTCCTACGTTAATTGCAAGCACTTTTATTGATTGCACTTAAGCTGTTCTGCTCCCCTTCAGCCCAGCACTTTATTATTTAGGGTTAGAGGAGAGGGCACTCCACAGCAGGTGTGGTGGGGGCTTTTCCCAATGGATATCATTAGGGCAGTGGAGGACTCAGGGGTACCAGTGTTCTGATGAGCAGTGGTGCAGGGTAGAGTAAGGGTTATGATGCAGTCAACCTATGCAGGCTGAGAAAATACACAGCTGAGTAGCAAGCAGGTGCCTACTCATGCATTTTACATGGAGTATAGGAAAGATCAGCTCTGGACTGGTTGACTAAGATAATGTGTAGAGCTAGTGCTTCTAGCTGCAGAGCACAGACCCAGCTGAGCAGCAACTTGGCCACCTCCATCATGGATGCTTCACAGTAGAAGCCTTTCTTGTATCCAGAAGACATGGCGTGAAACCAGGAGCTTGTGCTTGTTTCAGTGAGGTACTCTGTCTAAGAGGAAACCAAGTTGCAAGCAGTGGTATGACGCTTGAAGGCTAGTGAGCAGTGGGGCTGCCCTTCATATGCTGGGGAAGCATTCAGTGCTCTGTTCCACCAACATAAACCTCTGCACTGTCAGCTACAGCAGCTTTGCTTGCCTCTGAAAGCAGGAGTCACCTTCCAAATCACAGCAACCTGCATTTCATGGTACTTGCCCAATTTGGCCACAAACAAGGTGAAAGCATAGTTATTTCTGCTTAGCTTCCAATGCAAAAGGAAAACCAGAACTTTTCACTTTAATAACATCTTTATCAGCACTGGAATAGATGTTTAAAACAGTCCCACTAATGATGAACTGGCCAGTCTGCACTCGGCAGATGCATTGTGTTTCCATTAGGATTTTTGGTGCAGGGCGTAAGTTGACTGCCTGCGTCGTCATCTTGTGTAAGGATTGTGAAAAGACCACTTCCCCTGTAGCATGAAGATCAGTTTTCTTTAGCTGGCAGAGAGCTGGACAGCAGCGGCCCCTGTCACATCAGCAGTGCAATAATCCTGACTGTAATCTGGGCTAGTGCCTTTTCTTCTTTATTAATTACATTTATGAAGAAAACTTGAAAGTTTCTCCTCAAGAGTTCTGAGGGGCTTGAGTTGTATATTTTTGGATCAAATTCAGGCCTTGCTCAGAAGGAACAACTGTGCAGACTACTAGTGGGATTCTGTCAATATAGATCTTTTGACAAAATCTAATGGAGTTTTACTGAGATTTCAAAGCATCTTGAATTTCTTCTCACTAAGAAAAAAATGTATTTTTACCATGCATGAGAGTGCAACATTTCAGGATATACCTTGTGCTAGTTACAATGTAGTCATGAAACTACCCAACTTTTTCCAAAGTTTAAACTCTCACAAATGTTGGCTGATAAATGCCTGTTTCATTTGGAAATGGAGAGAAAAGGTAATTCTTAGAATCACAGAAACAGCAGCATTTGAATCCCTTAGGCAGAGAAACAACAGCAGAAAAGATTCAAACTAAACCTCAAACCTCTTGCACGTTCTCTTCATACAAGTATGCAGAAAAGGCTCATCCTAATGTATTTGACTGTAACTTTTAATTCTGTATACCTGTGCCCAGCCCAACACTTTCTGATACCTGACAGGGCTGCAAAACAGCTTCTGCACAGTACGGGACTGATGCAGAAATACACTCTTCTCTCTGAGTAAGACTGTAACAGACTTTGCACTAGGAGTGTGCAGATGTTAATGCAAGTCAAGTCTTTATTTCTTGCACTGATGTGGAAAATCCAGTGCGTCTGTGCCAGTCTGAACCAGTAGCATTGCATGGAGAGTTGGCATTGCCACAGGGAGTTAGTCATGAGGACTCTGCCTAGCTCAGTGGGGAAGGACTGAGTAAAATAAAGCTCTGCAATGGAGCATGCAGATTTCTGACCTGCTCCTCTTAACGGTAGTGGCAGAATGGAATGCCTTTTTTTCCATTGCTATTTCTGGTTTTGAAGCAGAAAGGGAGTTTAATTCAGCCAGCTCCTCTTTTCTATGGGTGTGAACTGTCACAGCAGAACATGGCTTGTTCTCTTACACTAGGTAGAGTCCACAGCTTTCTCTGCTTAAGCTGATACTATGAATTGTTTGTCTTACTCTGGGCAGCACAGCCTGAGCGCGTCCCTCCACCACCACCTTTTGTCTTCCTACCTCCCCAGAGGCAGCAAGCTTCTCCTTTGTCTTCCTCACCTTACTTATTAACACCACCTTAGATTTCAAGCTCCCTAGAAGCACTGCTGTAGGTTGAACAAGTAGGAATGGGCAAGTCTAGTGAAGGACTTGTAGCAGGGGATAGAAAGTGTTTTCCCAGTTCTCTTCCTATTCTCCAGTCTTCTCCCTGATTTTTGTATGTGGTTCTTGCACAGATACATGATCTCCACAGAGCCAGATCACTAAGAATGTCCTGTTTGTTAACAGACTTGCTATTAGAGAGAGGTTCTCAGCTTGGGGTCATCAGGCTCACTTGTCCCTGCTAAGCAATGCTAGGCCTGCCATCCTCCATGCAGCCACAACCAAGTTAGGCTGGTAAGCTCATTTGTCCATCTCTTCAGTAATTCTGGCTCTGCCCTGCTGATGAGCACGCTCACCAAGAACAGGTACTCTAAAGCCACTGGTCTGTCTGCCTTGTCCTGTCCAGAAAGGCTTCCACAAAAGGAACCCATAAAAGTTACATGCAGTGACAAGTAGTTGGGGCCCAAGTATTGAGGATAAGGGATGGCCTCCAGGTTGCTGCCAGCACCAGGAACAGGCCTGGTGGAGGCAGCACTACAGACTGCTGGGACCTGATCAGAATCCTCAACTAGATGGGAGGGTAAAATCCTGTTCCAAGAAGGAGCAAGTATTTCTCTTTCGCAGGGACAGGCTGCTGTGAAGCCCCAAATCCTTCTAGTACACAGGACATTCAGCCGCACCTAAGGCCCTTGGATTTCAGGAGTTTCTGCACTCCTTCCAGATGGTGATGGCTTTGGTGTCACTTGCCAAAGGCCTCCTTCAGGCAGTAGGTTCACCTCTTTGGCTTTGTGCAGTCGTCTGCTGTTCCGTTGCTGTCTAAAGACTCAAGTGTATTTTTTTCTGCTTTTTTTCACATTTTAAAATATTACCTTTTTTTAACTCCTGTGACCCAGCGCATGTTAAAGAAATATTGCAGCGTACCAACTGTTTATTAAATAATCTTTTTCATGTTTTTTATTTTAAAGAGGAGAATATTTTCTGTATCCCACTCTAGCATGCACCTATAATAATCCTCATTTTTATCATGTATGGGAGTAGGTTGTCCAATGAATGCACCTTCAGCACTGTGGCCTATGTTTATATTGCTTTGGAGAGGCAAATAATATAAGATTGCTGGAAAACACTACTCCATTGATTCTTTATTCAGATGTATAGAGCAGTCCAGGAAGGAAGAATATTTTTGCATCAACTTTTCAGCTGACTTAGCAATAAAGATTTTTACTTTCATCTAACTATATATTCTGATTCCGTTACTGCGCTAGAGGGAATTTGTGCAATATCCCAGTCAAACATAGCTGTGGCTAGCAGCGGTTGTGCTGTAGGTTCTCCTTCATTGACCTCCACGTGCTACTTCACTTGTCAGCCTTCCATACAGAAGCTACTTGCAGAACACCGTGAGGCTAGGATTCTTAATACCATTAGGCAGCTTTGCGTATCCTGCCAGAGGAATCCTGCCCTGTGAACTTGCTCTGAATAGTCCTGTACAGCTCTCTAGAAGCAGCTACAGCAAGCAGGAAAGACAGAATCATTAAAAGAAATAAAAACACAGTAGTCTGTCCACATAAATCCCTGTGCTGAAACACTCGATGCCTCTGGCTACTAAAAGGGAGGGGAAATCAAACAAACCCCAGAGTACCTGGTGTGTTCCTATTTAGCATTTGTTTTACTTTTGTGTCTCTAGTTCCAACGCTGTTCCATGGTTTTGGTGATTGTGATGATTTAGTCACTGATGCCAGTGAACCTGGAGATATATCCAAGACAAAGCACATTTCTGGTACGTTTAGTTTGGTGTTTGGGTTTTGGTTTTGTTTTGTTTTTTAATATGGGCAGAACTTGTCTGTTCATACAGTATGACTATGCAGGAGGAAAGCAATCAAAGCTAAAGGAGGCTTGTCCTCCATGGTGCTTCCGTCTTCACATGGACAATGCACGTAGCGGGCACTGCTCTGCAGTGACATTTCATTCTGAGGCATGATTTTGTGATTCTAGTGCTACTTTTCTTTTCCCTGCTAAATTTCCTATAAATTAAAAAAAAAAAAACCCTTTTTTATGTAAATAATACAGGAGCAGCATCTCATTTCCCCAACTTGTAGATTAAAAATGTATTTTGAAAACAAAATACTTCTATCTTAAAGCACCTGTTTGAGCTCTTAAAGCTTTTGTCTGATTATGCCAACTCAGGGCATCTTTTTAAGCAAAAGGCCATTTCATACAAAAATGTGCCCTTTCCAGGAGAGTTTGAAAAGGCATTGTGTCACAAATTAGGCTGAGGGTATTCATAATTTTGCAAGTTTATTTCGGGATTCTCTGATGGCTCTATAGATGCCATGTTCAAACTGCCCTATTAGTTCCAAGAGACATGCAAGAAGGCAATAATGAGCTGCCACAACCATGGGCCTTGATCACGCATTTTTACGAGCTCTGTGCTCGGCGAACAGTCACATGCCCTTTGTTTCAGCTACAGAAAGCTGTTCATCAGCAGAAGGCTGTAGTAGCAGTACTTGTAGCAAGACCTCATTGGAGGAGAACAAGACACCCGAGAAAGGGCAGGGAAGGACTACTGGTGAGGCAGGCAGCTTGCCAGTCAACTACACGAGGACAGTCATTCTCTACTAAGAGACAGCCACCAGATGAAGACAATCCATCAGACTAACTCTCTGTCCGCTAATAACTGAATAATGCAAACTCAAGTTAGGAACAGCTAGGCTTTACCGTATTTAGAGCTATACTCTCTCAGTGTGTGTTCTGCTGCAGCATTAAGGATGCAGTGCCCAGGAGCAAGGAAAAGCATTCTGCTTCGTCTCAGTAAGGAGGCTGGCAAAAATCATGAGCATTACTGGAGTGAAGGAATCATTCTAAAGCTCGTATAATTGTACTGGCTTCTGTTTCAGTTTATGAATGGTTCTGTACCGCCTGACAGCTAGGCTTGCACTAAGCAGGTATGCCACAACAGCGATGCAGCCTGAGAGGCTAGCAGCAATCTCTGCCCCATGCAGGCTGCAACTAAAGCCCTGGTAGCCTTTGCTTTGATAAAGCTGCTCTCTCTCTCTGCACACTGATGAATTATAAACCCCCAGCAGAAAATGGAAGAAAAAGTACAGAGCAGGGAGCATGCCAATTGCAATCACTACGTCCAGGACACATTCAAGTAGCAGCCATGCTGGGAAATGCCACGGTAACTGCAGAACACCAACCAAAATAAGAAGGCAGGAGAAGACCAGGAGACACCCTCCCACGGCCATTGCTGCCCTTGCAATCGGCAGCTTTAGTAGGTGGAAACGCTGGTCAAGCTGCTGGGCTTTTTCACCCTCTGCTCCGCTAAAGCCACTGTAAGCCCCGCCGTACTGGTAGTAGTAGATGCCTCCCAGACT